TCCCCACGGGGATCGAACGTCCGTATCCTCGACGCGGCCCCGCTGGGGCCGTCAACGATGCCGCGTACGTGTCCCCATGTGTTTCGCGTACATCGTGTACACACAAGCGGCTCCTTCCCCTGGCACTTGCAAGTGCACCCGTTAAGTGTGTGCACAGAGCCCGGCCCCGTCCCGTAGTTTGCGGACGCACACATGGCCGTTAACGCGGTCTCGTCGTAGAAATACACGTGACTATTCACGGAAACTTTGTCGCGGATCTGAAAGTCGCTTTAACAAATCCGCCGAAAAATTTTTATTTAACGCGTTAACGAAATATTTCGCCCTCCCTGTACTTCATGAAAGAAGTCGAAATTAAGGCCGGCATTCGTAGTTCATCATGTAACAAATAATTATTGTTTCGTTAATCTCCGATTATTCGTTAACCTGTATCTATACTTATTATATTTCATACAATAAGAAATGCTGATCTTCAAATAGCCGAATAACGATTTATGGATACGAATTCGTAATTAATTCTAGAAGATGTTAATTAATAACCAACTTTTCAGTTATTTGCCTTTGAACTAACCATTATAACGAGAGGCTTTAATTTAATGCAAAACAAAGTTATTTAATTTTACGTAAATTCCCTCTATATATGTGTGTGCGTAAAGGGAGAACTTCTCGAGGTAGTTACATATAACATGGATCTGCCCTTTAAATTTCTCGGAGTGGAATCAAAACGAGTGAGAATGCACTCGAATCAATAGTGAAAATATTACCACTCGGAATCAAAAGAGTAAATATTTAATTCAAATTACAGAGTGAATTCTTAATTCTATACGAATGAAGCCCGAGTCGAAATTGTTGTTTTACATCATCCCTATAAATTCTATCAAAGGACGCTATATAGCTTATTGTCCTATTTTTATGCTAAGTATATTGGTTAATGCCATTTCTACTATGTTGAATCGCCATTTAAAAAAGGATTTACTTTAGAATGACTTAATATTCGATTATCTCAATATTCTATCTGCGTTTAAATGTTATTTTTAATTTCAATAAGCAATGTATTAATTGTATATTTAACTTATTTAACTACATATAAAATATCTGTAACAAGCAAATATTAAATAATCTAACAAAGATTAATGATAAGTATAATTAGCGGATAAATAAAATTTTGTTTTTTCAGAATCTCTTTATTAATTACTTTTTATATTGGCATTGGAAATGTATATGTGTGTGTGTGTGTGTGTGTAAAATATGTATTTATATATTTAAAAATATATATGATGTCTCGCGCGTTATCCGCGTTCTTGAAATTCGATCCAGCGATCCTGCTCCTGGCTTCCCCGTCATGGCACTGCGGATACTAGCTCGTAGCACTGACACTCGCGTATATACAGTTTAATCGGAAAAAGATATGTTAATTACTGCGATATCGTCGAGAGTTCGATTAAATATTTCAAGAACTGGCGAAATATTTTGCTCTGAAATAATGTAATGCTCGGAGTTATGGAAGGAAAGCGACGCGCGCGCTAGTATGAAAGCAATTGGTAAAAAAAGCATAAACATATTCCCTCGCCTCAATCACCAACCGTAGTCTTACGTTATGGTATACCAAGTCCTCACAACAATTAAAACATAGCGAACCTTCAAGGCGATCAAATTTACCTTCGTGTCTCGCGGACTTTTCCGAGTGTTTCCATTCAGTTCCGGGCCGTCGAGCGACGCGTATACTACGGACTATGTGTGTCGGTGCGTTATTTATCATTTTCTGCGGGTGATTAAAATATTTTGCGTCGGACCGTGAAATGCTTAATCAAACATTCGTCGGTATCGCGTTATCTAACACGTGTATCTTCGATCGAATCGTATCTACGCGAATGTCAGTGCCAGTGCTACTGTCAATGCCACGACACAGCAGCCAGGAAGCTGAGTACAAAAGACAAGACGGAAGACGCGAGCAGAAATGTGCATCATATATTTTCAAGGTACACTAACTGACTTGTTATGTCAGAGGTTTTCGTTTTTAACGGGCTTTTGGTGAATTTACCGGGAATAAAGCGATATCCCCAAGTTGAAATTTAGGCATTCGTAGTTCATCATGTGACAAATAATTATTGTTTTATTAATCTCTGATTATTCGTCAACCTGTATCTGTACTTATCATATTTCATACAATAAGAAACGCTGATCTTCAAATAGCCGAATACGAACGATTTATGGATACGAACTCGTAATTAATTCTGCTCTTGATAAAAAAATCGTAAACAATTTATAAATACTATAAATACTATAAAACTATAAAACTATAAATACCGGCCTTAGAATTTAATGCAAATTTCTCGAAACTTCTAAGATTTTTATGTCTAATAATACTTTTCGGGCCGCTTTGTTTACATCTACTTTCTTTTTGTTGCTGTTTAGCT